AAATAAAATCTTTAAAAAAATAAAAAAATAAATAAAATAAAATAAAAAGAGACGACATGGTCACACACAGAACTGAAAAAGCAAAAGAAAGCAGCAGAGCCATGAGGCCCGGTGGGGAGACCTCATCTGGTTTGACAATCATTGCAGCTGGAACCTGGAACAGCCCCTTCGGGTTGCAGGAAGCAGAGGATGGTGGTGATGAAGGTGATAGTGATGGTGGAAATGGTGAGCAGGTGAAGCCTTCCTCCAGGCCCCATGGGAGCCCCCAGGCCTGGGGCCTCAGGCCAGAGCTGGGACAGGGCCAAGGGCCAGCTCCAGAAGGACCCCACTCTAGGAGCAAACAGGATGTGTCCTGGCCAGATGCAAACAGGATTTCCTGCAGCCCCTTCCTGCACACCTCACTGCTGATGACTCTGCAGGCAGGTGTGACTAAGGAAGGTCCCCTAACTAAGGGCAAAGATAGGGAATTTCCTTAAAAAAAAAAAAAAAAAAAAGCTGAGATTATTCTGCAGGAAAATTTAATGTTCTCCTCATTCCTTAGGGAACCAACACCCTAGAATAGAGAACATATAACCAGACTCTAAGATGAGACAGTTTGGCCACACTAAAAATACTACTTTACATTTCATGTTTCACAGTTTAAGAAAAGGTACTTCCCTTTTATTGTGGCCTTCGATCCTTCTGGCAATCCCGTATAGCACAGGACAGACAAGTTCTCAACCTCTAAAGGGCCGAGGTTTTTCTCCTTTTTGCAATGGATGGCAACTCCAGCCACGTTGTAAGGCTGCCAGCATTGAAGATGGGGTTGAATGGGGCAGCACGCGAATCTCTCTGTACACGTTTTCTCTACGACAGAAATCAGGGCCCGAACGGGGGGCAGAATGGGGTGACGTGCACTATGATCCCTCTTGTGTAGAGTGTGAAAGAAATGAGTCACCTAGCTCAGTGCTCGGGACACAGTGGGTGCTCAACAAGCTGTCCTACTATTCAGCCCCTGGGGACCCAGTCAAAGCCTTTCACATTAATATCCTAAATCACACCAAAAGACAGTCACTGACTTCCCCTTCCGAAGAGCAGTCTGGCCGTCACTTCCCTGGACAGGCCCCAGGAATGGAGCCTGGCCGCCTCCTGCCCGGCGCTGGGCTGTGTCCCGCCAGGGCATGTTCTCCTCTCTCGGGAGGACCGAGCTCCGGGCTAGAGCTTGATTTCTGGACCCACTCTCCTCCATAACCATCCGGGCGACCTGGGCAGACCAAGGGAGCTCCCGAAGCTGTGGCTAGTGTCCCTAAGGTTGAGTGGACAAAGTGGGGGCCAAAGTCCCTCTAACTTTGACCTTCGGTTACCCCGGGCCTAAGGAGGGGTCATCCAGTCCCTGGAAGGGCCACACCCCTAAACTCCAACTCCAGGTACTTTCAGATGTTCCCAGGTTTTGTTTGCCTCCCCCTCTCCCCCTGGAAGGAGGGCAGCAGGTGTGTTTAGCACAAAAAGCTGCAGCTGGAGAGAGGGTGGAGGCTCCTGCCTGTTATCAATGTGCCTAAAGCCAGTAATTCTTGACCTAGCCAGAAAGGGCCCTAGGTTCAGATAAGGCAGTCCTGCGGCCCCTGCCCCAAACACTGTCAGGAAAAAACCCTTCCCGACAACACCTGAGCTCTGATAAAGGTTCCTCTCAGAAATGCTCTTTCATTGTCAGCCATTCTGGAACTACCTTTTCTGGCTGCCCCAAGGGCACAAAAATTCAAATTATCTACTTCGCTGGTTCCCTTCCTGTAGATCCCTCTAAAATTCCAGGGAGCTTATTCAGAGCTAGGGGCTGCTAGTAAAAAACCCTGGTTAACTTGGGAGAGTTTACAAATGCTCACTGTTCTCAGGTCAGTAATTTGTGACATTCTGGTTTCGTGTTCCATAGTGAAAGTCTATTTTATAGACACCTCAAATCTGTCCATCTCATCTCTACATTCACCCCTCCCACCCTCAACCACTTCCTCCAGCTCCAGACACAGAAGCTCCATTTTTGACCTTGTGTTCGAGTCGGAGATGCGGCAAAGTGCCCTGGACGCCTCTTGTCCCACCCACGCACAGGCGCCCCACCACGGCCTCCCCCACCAGTGCCTCAAGCTTCCCACCCCAGGGCCTGCAGCGGCCTTTCTCAGCAGGGCCTTTGAGCCAAGTAGGACAGTCCCTCCTCGATGGTTCCCTAAGTTCCAAGCCTTGGCTCAGGCTGCCTCCCCAACTTCACCTCCCTGAGTTTCCCCTCAACTGGCCCCCTTGCTGTCCCTCCACACTCTACACGTGCTACCTCAGGCCCTTTGCACTTCCGGCCTCTCCTTCCTGGAATGCTACCAGACCTGCCTCATTCACACCCAAGTCCCCAGAGTTTCTGAGGTCCCTTTCCAGAGGCCTTCTCTGACCAGCTGCAGAGAGTGACCCCATCACTGCCTCCTCACCCTACTTGCCTCTCAGAACAGTCTCTCCTGTTCTCTCTCCCTTAGCAGTCTCTTTATAGCTTCATAGTTTATCAAAATGTGGTTATACGTCTGCATTTTAAAAAAAATTATCTGCCTTGCTTCCCAGTCCAGGGGTCAGCAAAGCGCAGCCTGAGGGCCAAATCCCCACAGCTGCCTGGTTTTGTAAATTTTGTTGGAACACAACCATGATTATTGCCTAACGTGCGTCTTGTCTGCTGCTTTGGTGCTACAAGGCCCGTCGAGTGGTTATGACAGAGACTTGATGGCCCATGTTTAAAATAGTTACCAGCTGGCGTTTCCACAAAGTTTGCTGACATTTGTTCTTTGCCAGAGGAGGGAAGGGGGAAAAGAAACAGAAGGAAGCAAAGATAACATGCGATGAGGTTGTTCAGCTGAGAGTTTACTTAGTAGCTCAGCTCCGTGTTCTGAAGCCTTAACCCTACTCCACCCCTTTGGAGATGTAGCAGTCACTCGTCAGGCGATAAAACGGCCCAGGGACTCTCCTGGTTTCTGTGAACAACCAGGGGTCATTCTTGCTCAGGTCCAGCTGGATCCCAGGTCAAGTACCGTTCTCAGCGTTCTTGGGCGGGCTCTCCTCAGTGACAGGTTGGCGGCCAGTGGCTCCAGGCTCCCGGCTCCCTGCCGGTCCTCTCAGCCACTCAGCAGACAGAACGCCCCCAGCAGGCACAGCAGAGGCCCCAGGATGGAGTCACATGCGCTGGCAGGTCTCACCCAGGTCACGTGGGCAGGGACAGAGTGGGGCTCTGGCTGGTGGGCTCGGGCTGCATGCGCGGCAGCCCCTAGTGTCTGTTACCCAAAGAAGGGAAAACAGAGGCTGGGTCAGCCTCGAAAGGTTTTCCCTTCCATCTGAGGACCCTTTCTGCAATGGGAAAAGGAACTGGTCTACAAAAATTCACTATGACAGCCAACTTCACTGGTATTTGTTTTTTTTTTTTAAAGATTTTATTTATTTATTTATTTGACAGACAGAGACACAGCAAGAGAGGGAACACAAGCAGGGGGAGCGGGAGAGGCAGAAGCAGGCTTCCCGCCGGGCAGGGAGCCCGATGCGGGGCCCGATCCCAGGACCCCGGGATCATGACCTGAGCCGAAGGCAGACGCTTAACCCACTGAGCCACCCAGGAGCCTCTTCACTGGTATTTTTAACAGCACATTATTCAAATGAGAGAAAATCACAAGCTTCTTAAATCTTTGCCTTTACGCTTTTCCTCCTTGCTGTGTCAAATGTGTTCACTGCTAGTCTATCTCAGTAGCCCTATCAACAGTTAACAGATGCAAGTAAGGCTGATCGTGAATTCGGTTTCACACATACCAACAAGGGGAAACCAGCGATAAACAAAGTAACAATTGGTAGTTTGCTAAATGCCATTTGCTCTGCCATCAAGGTTCAGGGCCGTGGGGACCCGGGCACAGGCGGGGAAACTCTGCACGGGAACCGCACGTTTTGCTTCAAGCGAACGTGGCGAGAATGATTACAAACGGCCTGTTTCTCTACTTCTGATCAAAGATGTCTGCTCTAATCTTTAAGAACGAGCGGGGCCTTCACTTGGTCAGCCACGTCCTTGCCGTTCAGTGCCTCGACGATCGCGAGAGCGAACTCAAAGCTGGTTCCAGGCCCGCGGCTCGTGAGGATCAGGCCGTCTCTCTCCACACGGTTCTCGGAGTAGCTGTAATGACCTTCGAAGTCAGAACGAGAAAGGGTTACATCCCAATGGGCTCTGCCGGACAACAGCGAGTACCACTCAGCAACCCCGTGCCCTGATACAGCAGAGGATTGGTCTCACATAGATTCAAACAAACCCAAACCCCAAAGCCACCACACTGTGGCCGGCCACCGGGAAACCACCGGGAGGCACAGCGCGGGCAGCCGGGGGGGGGGGGCGGGGACGCCCAGCTGCTGACGTGACACACATCAATACACGCGAGGTAAATGCACCTGCGAAAGACCTCCTCCGTGTGAGGCTGAGTGGGAAGGAAGGCCGGCCGTTCACATTTCTGTCACATCCACGAGGGCTCCAGGGGCCGCCCGTACACTGACACATGGACGGGTAAGCAGAACGTGCCCCCCAAAACGTGCCGCCTCGCTAGGGCGATTATTTTGAGCTGAAGACATCTGCAAAACAGCCCATGCCAGGAGAGGCTTTCTTTGAAGCCCCCTCTCCTGCCTGAAGACAGGTCCTCCTAAAGGGCCTCGGCTGCCATGTCCCCTCGGGAGTCCATCAACCGGGAGGGACGGACCCGTGTCCCGGGAGAGGAGACCACAGGTCCACACCGCACCCAGACTGTCACAAATGGTCACACCTCCCATCTGTTCTCCCAAGGGCCCCTCCATCTTTCCTGAACATCAGTTATTCTCTCCTGAGAGGCCTACCTTCCCTTCCCCTTCTCTACAGACCGCCTGTCACGCAGACTCCATGTCAGAGACTGCCTGCCATGCAAACTTTCTATCATACAGACTCCCTGTCACAGACCGCCTGTCACAGACTCCCTCACAGACTACCCGTCACACAGACTCCCCGTCACAGACCGCCTGTCACA